GCGGTGGTATGATAGGAGGTGGTATGGGACGTGGTGGTATGGTCGGCGGTGGTATGGGACGTGGTGGTATGGCAGGCGGCAATCCGGCTATCATTCGAGAATTGGAATCTGATTTATGGATTGAAAAAAATATTCCTGGTGGATTGAATAGTAAGTATTGTAAATTGTTATCACTAATATTATTAGAATATGTTTTATTATTCACTTTTATTATATATTTATATATATATATATATGTGTGTACCGTGACTAACAAAACTATTCAACAAGGATTACTTTTAATTAGTTTCCCATATGTTAGTCACAAAGAAGAATTCCAATAGTAATTCGAATAGAGAAATATATACACAACATGAATATATAAAAATAGTATAATTATCAGATCCCAAAAGGTAGGGTTTCATAAAGCTTAATCAACACTTTTTCCGAATGTAGAATACACATATATAATTTTGTGAAGATTTCACTGAACGATAAAGTAAACAATTCTGTTTTAAAATGAGACATATTCAAGATTTTTACGACGATTTTTTTTCTACTATTTTCGATTGATGAAGTAAATTTGAGATTTTCAATCTGATTGTCGTATGTCAGCAAAGAGAAGAGTCGTAAAGAGCTTGAAAATGTCTTGTTTTTGTGAAAAAATTCTTTGCTCTATGATTTCGTTTATCTCAAATGAAATTCAATTTGTGTCTTTTAAGTACTGAAATGTGACCGTTTGGTTTTTGTTTGGAAATCTCGAATTTAGGAATCTCGTTATCATTTTGTTTTCTTATATTCTTATAATTTACGTTGTTGTATCTTCGAGTCACCGCTTGAATTCTTTTTTTTAAAGTTCAGCCGCAAGAATAATTCCGAGTAAACTTAGTTATATAATTTTGATAATCAATGAATATATCAACAATTTTTATTGTTGTGTTTGTAATTTTTGAAGTCTTATGTCGATAAAGATTTTACGAATTTCTCTAATCAACTTTGAATTTTTATGATAAATCGCAATAGTAATTTATTTTTTACTCAAATTAATAATGATAAATATGTAAACAGGAATTACCTAAAATAAATGTGGAAACCTCGAACTTAAGTCCGAGAGTTATGTGTACTTCAAAAAGTGAATGAGACAAATAAGTCATCCTAGAATGTGTGGATATACAAATTAGCTTGGCAAACCTTTTCTGTAAACACTTGAATTCTATTGACTACTGCTCAACCAATAGGATTTGGGGGCGAATACAGCTCAGATTTGAACTCTTCGCCTTAATTTACCCTCAGAAAGTCGTTTTTTCTATAACTTGATTTCTATTGGTCAGTGCTCAACCAATAGGGCTTCGAGACAAGTGGAGTACAGATTCGAGTGCTCCACTCCAGAAAACCCTCAAGCATCACCTCTTATCGGAAGATAGTGCTATAATTGTGGATCAGTTAGAGCGTGGACAAGAACAGAATCGAGTTCCATTTATTTATCTTTGCAATAAGTGAGCTAGCCTTCTTGTTTCTTTATGTTTTATATACCACTTTGTAGCTCGTAAAATTCTCTATCGAATGGTATATAATAGTTGGGGTTTTGTTTGAGTATGATAGGAAAAGTTTTTTACGAAAGCGGGGACGGGTCGATTTTCGCATAGGAAGCCATAGGAAAAAATGAGTATTTTTGCAATAACTCAGGAATGGTTCGGCCAATTCTTCTCATCTTCGAACTCGACCGAGACATTGTTAAGACTGAACTGTGTAGAAAGTTTCATCGCGATTGGACTCTTCTTTCAAAAGTTATCGTGTAAACAGACGGCCGGACGGACACACTGACCGATTCTAGAGTGTACTCACTTTTTGAGTACACAAAAACTAAATATTCCTTAATTATTTCTTTTAATTTAGGTCCACTGGGCGAATATTATGATAATATGATGGGTGGAAATCCAAATCCAACATGGGGTCAAGTTACTGGAGGTTATCCTGGAGTAGGAGGTACTTTTGGAATTGGAGGTTTTGAAGGAATTGGAGGTAGTGGCGGTTATGGTGGCGGTGCTGGTGGTGGTGCTGGTGGTGGATATGGAAATTCATATGGTTATTCATATCAAAGCTATCAAACCTACTAATAGAGGCGTATAAATTCGAACTATTTTTTTTTCTAAACATAAAATATTTTAAGCAACCAATGAATCATTGATTTGTTATGATCACAACAAAGGCTTTCATTAGTGAAATAAATATTTGTTTAGATAAAACCTGTGATTTCAAAGAAAAAGATTTCGTTTATAAAAATAGAATTTGAATACGAATATATTGAGAATCTATGATCGGATATTTCTCAACTAATTAAACATATTTTTAATGGCAACATACTGTAGAGTTTATCAGTTTGTGCTTAAGGCTTTGCTATGAATTAATCGATTAAGAATAAAAAAAAATCTCACGATGGAAACATCTGCTAAATCAAGGAAGAAAAGTTTTTTTTTATAATTTCTATGTAAGAAACTAACTGGACGCTTGCAAGCACAGCTGAAATGAAATGCTTTTCGATTCTAGACGCAATTGTATATTTGCCAAATGAAATTCAAAATTTAAATTTCGATACATCTAAGATTCGAAATAAACCAACATTTACATCTTGTTACGATAATGTTAAATCTATCCTAGTAGATAAAATTGAATGATTACCTTAAGCAATAATAGTCACACTTTAACAAGCAAAATAATAATTGGAAGTCATACATATACATCAGAAACTTATACTGACTTAAAATTTTTTCTGATTCCAAACTACGATATAATTGAACTTTTACTTATTACTTTAAATTTATTTTAGTACACAATCAATTTATTGTCGAGTTTTCCCTGAGAAGATTTAAAGTAAGCTAGTCTTTTAGCTCTTATTAAGTCATACAGATATTGACACTTGGTTTTCATTCGATTCTTAGGCTGATTTCAGCAAAGCAGACTCATAAGTCGATTTTATCGAAAGTTTGCCTCGAAATCTAACTGTACCCATACTAACACCTATAGCTATACCCTACATTTCGTTTGAATAAGCGTTATATAAAGGTTATTTTGATTATAATGTGTTTGAATTTTTCAAATGAATGGATAAATTGTACATACAATTCAATTTTATTATAAATTATTATTTTTTCTAAATTCGAAAGTCTTTCCAATGAATGAATTCAAGAGATCTACACAGTTCTGAAAGTTATCTTGCATGGACAAGATGTTAAGCTCTATCTAACAGTTAAATCAAAATTTCGAAAAAGTGTTCATAAAGAATAAGATAGATAGATATTAGAGCTAGTTTGTGATAAAATAGACTTCTGATCTCGTTCTACTGTAGTTAAGCCACGTATCTAATGAAAATCAAATATTAATTTTTTCAAAGTTTGACGAATAGTTTCTATGTTATCTTTCGTATTTATAGTATTAGTCAATATTGAAAATTGTAGCTGTCGTATTTTGAAAATAATACGAAATAAGTTATATCTAAGATAACTGATAAACTAAATCGAAAAAAAAAAGGTTTATTCATGTTCTGTGTATTAATCTGTTCTGTCTTGTGTCTATCTCTAGTTAGGATAAGAAACATGTCTGAACTCGTCTATTTTATGTTTTAATGTTTACATGAGTTGTTGTATAGCATAGAATGAAAACTACCGATAATATTTTATTATTTTAGTAGTAGGTAGGAGCGAGAAGATAATTTATAGAAAAAAAAAAGTACTTTCTACTACATATATGATTACAATAAAGTTTTTTTGTTTTTTCAACAGAAAAAAACTGATCAAATATTTCTTCGATGATATTATTATAATTTTTTATTGATACTCAAATGAAAGTCTTGAACATGAAGTTAGTACTTCGACAGATTTCTTACAATAAACATAATAATGATCATTTTTTTTAGTCTTTAATGCATTACATTTCACTTATGATATTTGATAGAGCCGATCCTATTATATCACTGTGTTGTCTATGTTCAAAAAGAGATCTGAACAACAAGATATACTGATAACAAGTGATTGTATACTTCTATTCTATAGTGGAATCTCTATGAGGATTTGTTTGAAATAAATAAAACCCAAGAGAAAAACATGAATGAAAAACTCATTAATATCGTCCTTCTAGCAATTTAAATGTAAAAATAACTTGTACTTTCGCTTGTAGTATCACAAAAAAATAGTTTTAGATATTTGTCATCAAAACTTGTTTCTTTATTCTCTTATCGTATTAGTGTAATTTTCAAAAGAATTCTTCAATTTCTATCAGATGCTTGTAGTCTAGATTTCTGTTTATTTTCGTTGTTTTTCCTCCGTTATTGTATTCAAGTTCATTAGTTTTCTTATGAAACTTAGAGCAAGATCCTTCAAGTCTCGTTTCATTTCACTGGAATTACTCGGTGTGTTATCACGGAAGACGATTTCCGTTTTGAAATGTGATTCATTCTTATTAATAATAATAATAATGATGAGTTTTTGAGACTATAAGCCTGATCAAATCAGTTCTACTAACGGTAGTTATGAGCAAACTTTCATCAGTAAAATTGATGCAGGAATAGCTCACCAAAAACAATCAAGTCATAATATATGAAAAAGAATAAAAAATAATGATAAATTATTTGAACTCGAACACAGAAGGGTCAATGTATCCAACAACAACTTCACTCCAATCTGTTTCATCATTTCGACTAACATTTGGTGATGATAAAATACGATCTGAATTATCAATTATAAAAGATAAACAGACAATACTCTATTAGTCTTTGCTACAATCGTTATTCTTCATCAAATCCAAAAAAAAAATTTCTTCTATCTGCAAATTCAAGTGTACAATTTGATTGTCAAATGGATAACAATTGCTGGCCGGCTAAAGTGTACTCTCTCAACTTACTCATCAATTTTCTTTCAAAAGTCTCATCTTCTTATTCTATCGTCAAAATGAAACATAAGCGAATTTGAAAAAAGTATCACGAAACAATACTTGACTATCATAAAAATTAAACGATTTTATGTTAAACGTATATTATTAATACATTGTTTGCTATTCAAAGTGTAAGTGCAGGATCTTCTTGTCACTTACACTCACACGCTTACAAAACATAGGTTTGTTTCTTTTATTGATATTGAAATAGCAAATATTCGGAAATCATATGATCAATATTCGTTTGTTAAATGATGGAAAAAGTTGAATAATGTATTTTTGATTTCGATTATATTAGGAAATTAGTTCAAATTTAGAAAGTAATTTATACAGCTAATAAAATTTTCTATCTTGAAAATTCTTTTCCAAAATTTTATTGATGAAATATAAATCCAGGAAGGCTTTGTTGGAAGTATTTTTTTCACAATAAGATTTTAAAGAATATTGAAGTGTGAAAAAGATGAAAATTGATCGCGTTTTCTACGATCTATTCTTAAAAAGTTAAGAGCATTGCAAAAAAAAACGGAACGAGGGAGGCGCTTTCTATAATTAATTTCGTTTTGTAATGATTTTACTGATGCCCTTAACTTTTTAAGGTAAGATCGTAGAAAATGTAGCGACCCTCTTGAAAATTTCATTGTTAAATAAGAAGCTTCGATAGAGTCTTCAGAGACGTAAACACGACAGAAAACTTCATTGGCGTTTTTAATTCGCCATCTGATTTTGAGCCAATCGCTTAAAATTATCAAAAAAAAAGAGAATCAAAAACACGTTGTTTTCAAACTTTTTTCCAATGCCTTGGTTAATTTTAAAAAAATCAACTATTTATATAGAAGGAAAACAAAACCTTTTTCTAGTCACGCTTCTCCAACTTTCACTATATCATATTTTTTCGAGAATTTATGGAAAATTTTATTTCACTATGAATTCAAAAAACTATACTTCTATTAAAGTCAAAGATGATCGGACAATTTTTATACAAGTTCTCAAGAGCTTCTTGCAACGTAAAATAAACAAATGAACTTGAAGTAATGATCCTTAGTTTCATATCACACTGGTGAAAATAATTAGAAAGATCTACAAAGAGTTTTTCTGTTCATATTAATATTTAGGGTACAGGTCGTTGTTTTAATCATTTTCATATACAACGCGGTTGAAGACCAATTCACGAAATACCTTTTTTTATTTTAAGTAAATCAGTGTTATTAATTATCATATAGTTTAAGCTTTTAAATGTAACTAATCAGTCCTAGCAACACAGAAACGTTGTATCATGCATGTAATACTTATATAATCTCATTGCAGTCAGATACCACAATTAAATATTCCCATTCACATGCAAAGGGTGAAATTTTCTCCTATTTTTAGGACACTTTGTTGCCAGAAACCAAACTGCCTGATACCGAATGTGTTGCACAGATAAGAAAGGAATACATCCTACGTGCATTTTGACTCACATAGTTGCTCTGACCATATAAACTTCTTTTAAGTTCTTCTATTTAATTATTTACTTATTTGCTTCTGAAAACGGTGTTATTTTATATTACATATTGTGTTCGCTTTTCGACGCAGCTAGTTATGAAGTCTAATCTTTACTTGAGGGTTCACCCGAGACATATTCACATTTCTTAATTTCCAAAATCATAGAACCGTAAACATTACAAATTCACTCATATTACTCATGGAACTTAAGCGAATCTAGGAGTATATAAATTTAGGTGACAGATTAATCCTAACATTTCAAACAAAGTTTATATCATCACATTTTGCTTATCCATCGATGGTGAATAACTACAGTGATTTCTTGAATTTAGAAATTCGAGACGTTAGGAAATACGACGAGAAATGACGAAATATACAGTAAAACCTTTTCTGTGTATATTCAAATATGGACATGAATGTGGATGCAGAGAGAATGGAAATTCAAAACTTACGCTTGCAACAAAAGCTATAATCAAAAGTTTCTGAGAGTTGTTTGAGTTCTATGAGATTAGTGAGTAATGAACAATCCTGAGATAAACAAATATTCCTATAAACTTCTTCCGAAGTTATCATTACTTTATTGTCATATTGATTTATGACGAGTTATATCATGGAAAACCTGTTTTAAGATACATGATTCTTTCATTCACAATGTTATGAATGTCTTGTAATAAACGAAAATCGAATACATTAGAAGTGAATCTCGTAG